GGGAGGAGACAGCCTCATCTTTCCTCCTGGCGAGCAGTTTGGTGGGTGGTGGTTTTGAACCGGTAGCCTGACGGTTAGTCGTAACACTAACCCACTATGCCACCCGGAGGACTCTTTAGGAATAAATACAGGTCACACTAAACTTGGATGTGGCACGGGCGTGAGTCACAAAATCTGACTGGAAATGTTGGCAGGGGCAGGTTTGGGAATTCAGGCTGAGCTTGGGACTGCTAGCCTTTGCCAGGTCAAGTCAGGCTGACTTTGGACTTGGGGAGCTGCCCCACCTGCCATGCCCCCCAGGACTCAAGGAATAAAAAAACCGGCTCTGCTTCCCGGGCCAGCCCGAAGCGAAAAGCTGTTGCCCCACACCTTGTCCAAACACACACCTATTGTCCTCTGGCCTCACCTTCCTAAGTTCCGGACTCCAAGGCCAAGATGCAAAGTTAAGCCTCCCTGTTAACCCTTTAGGCACATGCACCCCTGCATCTCAAGTTCACTGCGATCCAGCCAGTGGTGATGCACAGAAACCCAGTAGTACAATACAGAGCTGCCTCCTCGGTGGATTTTTAAGACTAAAACTTTATGGGAGCCAAAGACCTGGTCTTTCTCCCTCGGAGCGGCTGTTGGTTTCAAACTGCTGGCCACTGGGGCTCCTGCTAGAGCAGTGGTTCTCAACCTGCCTAATGCTGCGACCCTTTTGTGCAGTTGCTCATGTTGTGGGGACCCCCCATCCATAAAAACCCAAACCCGTTGGCATTGAGTCAGTTCCAACTAATAACGACCCTATAGAGCTGCAGAGTAGAACTGCCCCATAGGCTTGAACTGTCCCATAGCCCATGAGTTGGGCTGCTAACTGCAAGGTCAGCAGTTCAAATCCACCAGCTGCTCCAAGGGACACATCTGAGGCTTTCTACTCCTGTAACACCAAGTCGGAATGGACTCCAGGGCAGTGAGATTTTGAGTTTAGTCTTCACAGGGGCCGACTCCTACCCACAGAGCTACTGGTGGCTTCCAACCACCTCCCTATCGATTAGCAGTCTCGTGCTTAACCATTGCACCACCTGGGCTCTGGGTACCAGGATCACGCAGCACCTAACTCGTGCGAACATCCTTGCCATCCCAGAGCTTATATCCTACATCTGAAGGGTCCGATACTGAAGCACAGTCTCCATTTTCAGAAGGCAACAACCCAAGGAGAGTCTCTGACATTGCACCATACACCTTGATTCTTCACCTGGTCCAAAGCCACATGGGCTGGTAGGCACCACCCCTCCCCACCCCAGGAGCACCCAGCAGCATCTGCCAAGCCGGCACTACTTGGTTCAGGTTTTGAGGAAAGGACACAGGAGGTGAAGCCATTGTACAACAAGGAACCATAGTTTAAGGCTTTGGAAATTGCTAGTAGGAATGACTCTGCAGTTCCCTTTGTCGGGTGACAGGGGTGTTTGCAGCTTCTGGTTTCTCTGGGGCTGGGACTCAAGCAGCAGAGCAAGCTGACAAGGATGCGGGCGTGTCACCATCTCAGGTCAGAGTGGTTTGCTGTCCGCATCAGGGCTGCTGTGGGCTGAGCTGGTACTTCTTCCCCAGCCTCCTCCTCTCTGTTAGCCCTTTACTCCCCAAACCACGGAGCGCGGGTAGTTTTGGGCATTCATTGAGAGCACAGAGATGTTCAGTAACTTGGTCAAGATCACACAGCTATTGGATGTCTAGCAGAATCCAGGATACATTTTTCAGAAAACAGACCAACACTTCCCTAAAATCAACTCTCCAAGAAGACAATTTGTTAAGTTCCTGCGCTTCTATGAATCGAGGCATTTTTTTTTCCTCCTCCGAATTTTGGTTTTACTTAAGCCCCAGTCCCTGGCCTGGCCTGAGCCTCTCAAATATGGACTCCAAGACATTTAATTCAAGTTGGCCAGTCAACTCCAAAGGAGCCCTTGTGGCGTAGTAGGTTACACATTGGGTTGCTAACTACAAGGTCAGTGGTTCAAACCCACCAGCTGCTTCCCAGAAGAAAGATGAGACTGTTCAAGATTTACAGCCTCTGAAAGACACAAGGCCAGGTCTGTCTGTTGCAGTGAGTCAGAATCAACTCAATGGCAGTGAGTGAGTGTGAGTGGACCCCAAATCATGGTGACCCCACTGGTGTCAGAGTAGCCTGTGCGCTGTAGAGCTTTCAATGGCGGGCTTGCCAGGAGGTCACCAAGCCTTTCTTCCGACGTGCCTCCAGGTGGACTCTATTTTAGGACCCTTGGCCCATGAGCCATTTGTACCCGATGAAATCCAAGGGCAAGGATGATTCCCCAAACAGGAAAACTAGTAGATTTCAAGAGACACATTCCCATGCAAAAACAACCAAGGTGAAAATGCAGACTGATATAGGAACCCGCAGATTCACCAGGACCAGGCAAAGTTCTCCTTTCTGTCTTGGTGTGACAGAAAGACGAGATGCTTGAAGGGGGCCTGCCCTGAAGCTTGAATCTGAATCTGAGCTCACCCGAAGACCAACAAACCTCTAGTTTGCAGGGAAGACAGGCCCCATGAGAAGGTCATCAGTTAAGGAGAAAGTTACCCCAAACTTGGAGGTGCCGTGAAAGGACGACTTGCAATCTATTTCAGAAAAGAAGGGCTACTGGAAACCTCCCGGCGTCCAGGCCTGCTCGGACGCGGGTGGAGCCTGGTTCTGGTGGCGGAGTGGGCCGCGTGTTACTTAAGGAGTTGCTGTGAACGGACTCGACTCCATAGGCAACTGCGTTTAAGGAATGCTGGTTACTTTCGCAGCGGGCACCAAGGGGATCGATTGTACTTCTACTCAGGAAATATTTTAGAGGACAGTACAGACCTACGGTTTCAAAAGAGG